ACTTCTGATGATCAACAAAACAATAAGTCTGTAGAAGAGTTCCTGCCTTCTGAAAAGATGAAAATGGTCACCGTGTCCAACCACATGTTACAGCATCTTGGAAGACATGATGTGTATTCAATAAACTCTAAAACCTCAACTTGGAGGTGTCATTATTGTGGGGAGTATGGTCACATTAAGTCTTTTTGTTATAAGCTATATGGAGTGCAACAATCTTCAGCTCGTGCCAAAACCAATCAAGTAAGTAAGAAAAGAAGGTCTATCAACAGGGATGTGAATCTTATGGCTCACACCTCCTTGAGAGTTTCAACTAGAGAATACTGGTAATTTGATAGTGGATGCTCTAGACACATGACGGGGATTCAGAGGTTGTTGGTGGATATTAGGTCTCAGTCCTCAGGGTCTGTCAGATTTTGTGATGGATTTAAAGGAGAAATTAAGGGAGTGGGGAGATTGATGTGTGCAGGATCTCCTAATTTAGAAGATGTTCTTCTGGTGAAAGGATTAACTACTAACTTTATTAGAATTAGTCAGCTTTGTGATCAAGGCTTGTTGGTCAATTTTTCAAAATCAGAATGCATAGTCAAAGGTGAGAAAGGTGTTATTCAATGAGAGGTATAAGGTCTAAAGATAATTGATATATATGGGATCCTCAAATAACTGTTCATTCTTCCACATGGGCTATAACCAATTAGGATGAAGTGAAGTTATGTCATCAGATTCTTGGACATCTTCATCCCAAAAGAATGAAGTAAATAATATCTGTAGGAGCCATTAGAGGAATGTCAGATCTTAAGATTAAAGAAGGGAAAATTTGTCGAGAGTGTGAGATTAGAAAGCAGAGTATGATGCTTCACACAATGTTGTAACATCATAATACATCTAGAGTGCTAGAATTGTTACATATGGATTTGATGGGACCAATGAAGACAAAAAGCTTGGATGGAAAGAGGTATGTCTATGTGATTATAGATTATTTTTCTGGGTTCAAGTGGATGATGTTTATTAGAGAAAGATCATACTTGTTTGAAGTCTTTAAAGATCTGTGTAAAAGTATTTAAAGGGAAAAGAACAATGTGATTGTCAAGATTAGAAGTGAGCATGACAAGGAATTTAAAAATGCGAAATTCTCAGAATTTTGTGATTCTGAAAATATTAGTCATGAATTCTCTTCTTCTATCACTTCTCATCTGGATGGAGTTGTTGAACAGAAGACCAGAGAAATACAAGAGTCTGCTAGAGTTATGCTTCATGCCAAGCAATTTTCATTGGTATTTTGGGTTGAAGCTATGAATATTGCATGCTACATTCATAACAGGGTCACATTAAAAGGAGGTACTTCAACCACTATCTATGAGCTATAGAAAGGGAGGAAACCTATAGTCAAATACTTATGTACGACTGAAAGTAAATGCTTTGTATTGAATGACAAAGTTCAAAATGGTAAGACAACTCCTATAAGTGATGAAGGGATATTTTGGGGGTATTTTTCAAGCAGCAGAGACTATAGAGTTTTTAACTTCATAATTAAAATGATTGAGGAATCTATCAGTGTGATAATTGATGATCCAATTACTAAGCAAATGATAGATGTTGAGAATGTTGTTGGAACATTCTCTATGCAGACTAGAAAATAAGAAAGATGCAAAATTTCTAGCATTGTGACAGATGATCCTCAATTCACTTCAAGCCTCTATATTAGAGTTTAGGCAGAACTATCTAAGGAACTCATTGCAAGACACTCTGTCTCTAAGTTTGAACTAAGGATGAGTCCTATTATTCAAGAAAGGAAGAGCTTGAGTTGCATCATTGAATCAAGGAGTTATGGTGTGTTCTACTATCGTAACAATAATAGCCTGATGAAAGAATTGTACAATACTGATGAATGTGATTTTGAGAACATAAGTAGTGAGCTAAATACTTGTTTCATGAAGAATTTATAGCAACTACAGGTATGGAGGAATGCAATAGCTGTTGTATCTTTCCTCTATTCTCTGAGGCATAATAAACCTAAGGAGGTTGTCTTTATTAAGGGATGAAATAAAAGATCTTTCCAAGATAGAAAGGTTGTTTTGAAAAGGAAAAGTTTTAAGTTTGTGGAAAGAAAGTTGAACGTCAACAACAAGATGTGCATAATGATCTTTGACAGGGGCAAGATGTGGCCTAGCACCTGAAGTCGATCAGGAATGTGTGTTTCCACCAAGTGATGTGTGTTTCCATATATTGTGTATGGACATTGTCTTCCTTTGTGCTATACAATTCAGGGGGAGTTCTGCTAATAGTCCTGTAATGTCAGACACGATGTTTTAACAAGTTTTTTTTGGAGTCGATGGGTGTTTCTTTTATTCCGTTGTGTTTGCTTTTAATAACTCTTCGTTGAGAAACTACTTTCTCTGTAATGTGAATGTGATGGCTGGTGCTGCTGCGTATAAAATATAAAATTGCTTAAGTTGTTTTTACTTGGTCTCCACCTTCATGAGGAGAACTAATTATCTGTGACAGAGGGAGTCGTGTACCTGTTTGTTGTGTAGCTGTTGTGGTACAACTCCTGCAAGAGCTTGCATGCAACATGTTTTGGTGTGTCTCTGGTGAGGTTATAATGTCAAAGAAGATGTTGTGACATTGTTATGTCAGGTGTGTCCTTTTTCTTTAACAATGTGAAAGTGGTTATATATATGTGTGTAATTTATATCTGTTTCTGTTGTGTGCCTCTAATATACGTTTTGGAGCTTGTCATGAATCTTGGGATGACCAAGTAATTGTTTTGTCTATGGAAGGGAAAATGTATTTTGAGCTGCAAAAGGCTTTGAGTCTCAAAGAAAGTTCTGTTGTTGGATGTGACATGTCTAACATGATGTGTTGACATTATAATCAGATATTCTGTTGAGCATTGATATTTAGTGGAAAGTTTAATGTTATGCAAAACAACAGGTTAGGCATCTAGCTAATTTACATGCCTTCACTGCAAAATTTTCTTTTTTTTAGTAATGATAACTATATACAACAACAAAGAAAGCCCTGAGAAATATCACTAAAGGTTGGGTTATTTAGAATTTTTAAGAAGCATTTCAAAAAATCCAATACATGATAAGTAGGCTACTATATGTATTTTAATGATAAATGATATATTAAAAATTTAGGAAGCATTTAATACATACATACCATTAATCTTAAAATTTAATTGGACTTCGATTTATGTTTAGATACATTTTTTTAGTTTGGATTTGAAGGTAGTGTATTGTCAGTGTAAGACAGTTTTACACATACAATCAATCAAAATATTTACAATCATCATGTAATATCAATATTTTTAAAATAAAAATATATTTTATTGTAATACATAGTTGTGATTGATTGACAGTGTAAAATATTTATATTTTCTTTTTTTTTCTTTTAGTTTTTATGATTATACTTTCGTCACATTAACCTTTGGTTTGATTACATCATATCCTTGAATTTACTTCTTATCTAAAATATGTCACTCTCTTCTTAGTTGTTTTGTAATGAAGCATAATAGAATATGTAAGTACTAATTTATGTGATATTTAATTTTAAAACTTAAATTCTTGATGTTGTCTAGGATCAATCCTATATGCATATGATAGAATAAATATATGGCTTTGTTTGTATAATTGTTGTAAGTCATTATGGTACCATTTTGACGACACTGGATCAATTAGTACTTTATTATAATGAACGGTCGTTATAGTAACTATTATTATTTACTCTAAATGCTACCCTATTATTTACTCTAAATGCTACCCTAAGGTTTGGTGATTCATGAATAATAATTGTCGTAATATAATATAGAGTTAAAAATAATAATTTATAGTTTTTTAATAAACAAATATATTAATAGGAGTATAAGAGTTTTCAAACTCGTTCTAAAAGATAACTAGAAACTTTGTATACAGCTTCACGAAAAAAAACTTTGAATACAAGATAAGAGTTAACACATCAAACAAAAAAAAATACAAAATTATATTTATTTTTCAGTTCTTGGAACAAACCAATACCAAGACAAATTTTAATGCTTTCTAAAATATATGAATTGTCACCAACAACTCTCTTAACTAGAATTGCATTTCATTCAACTATAATGTGTCGTTAAAAGATCTCCAACCGTGAATCCATTTTTAGATTTTTTGTGGGATCTATTAAGCCACGTCAGCTTGAAGCAATTTAACTAATTTTTCACTTTAATGGTGCAACTCTGAAGAACTCATATTGGGTCCCACAACTTTACTTTATATATTAATATTTTATTTATATTAAATTTTATATCACTTAAAATAATAATTTTAATTTTTTACAGAAAATTATTTGAGTCGACTATATAGCCCAACGGGTATATAGTGTTGTTTTAAGGAAAAATATTTCATTCTACTATATAAAAAAAAATATTTCAATCTCTCCTTAGTTAATTTTAGTGTTTTAAATTAAATTTGATATAAAATAAAAAAAAAAAATTAAACTTATAATTTAAAATGATAATTAAAATTAATCTCAAATACATGATATATAATTAAAAACAATAAAAATAAATAACATCACATAATTAATCAAACTTAAATTTCATCATCTTCATGTCCAAAACGTTCCCAAATATATTCGACTAGATCTCCTTGAAGTTTACGATGAACTTGTTTTTCTTGAATACTTGCTCTTCTTTGTAGTCTTGTTGCAAGATTCGAATGAGGAACGCTAAATGTTTCAGTTGTTGAGTTATTGATATCCACATTATCATAAGAGTAATCAAAATTACCTTCATATGTATGTCGTTCGTCTTCCACAATCATGTTGTGCAATATGATGCAGACATATATGGTATGCTTGAGAGTGTCTATGTGTCAGGCATGCGCTGGGCCACGTATAATTGCAAATCGAGATTGAAGCACTCCAAATGCTCGCTCCACATCTTTTCGAGCCGATTCTTGATGTTGAGCAAATAACTTTTTCTTTTCTCCTTGTGGCATTGAAATAGTCTTGACAAATGTAACTCACTCGGGATATATACCATCTGCTAAATAATACCCCATATTATATGGTGTCCCATTGATTGTATATTGCACATTGGGAGCACGTCCTTCCAAAATATCGTTAAACACGTTGGATTGGTTTAGCACATTAATGTCATTGTTTGAACCTGCAATACCAAAAAAAGTATGCCAAATCCATAAGTCTTGTGATGTCACTGCTTCAAGCATGATTGTGGGCTTACCATGATCACCTCGACAAAATTGTCCTTTCCATGCAACAGGACAATTTTTCCATACCCAATGCATACAATCGATGGAACCCAACATACCTGGAAAGCCACGTGACTCTCCCATTTGTAAAAGATGTTCAACATCAGTGTTGTTAGGCTTTCTCAAATACTCAGCGCCAAATACAACATTGACACCCTTAACAAATCTTTCTAAGCACTCAATTGAAGTTCTTTCACCGATTCGAACATATTCGTCTACAAGGTCAGCAGGAGACCCATACGCCAACATACGAATAGCAGATGTACATTTATGCAATGGTGAAAGACCCATTTTACCTGTTGCATCGACCCTCATTTGGAAATATTCATCATAATTTCCAAGGGCATCTACAATTCGAATAAATACATGCCTATGCATTCTAAACCTTCTTCGGAATTGAACATCTATGTATACTGGGTTTTCCGAGAAGTAGTCATTGAATAATCGATTGTGTCCTTCTTCACGACCTAGATCTATCGTTGTTCTTCTCTTTGGCTTAGAGGAACTTCCAGATCGACGTTCATTTTAAATTTGTTGTTCTTCATCACTGTCGTCCATAAATTCTTCTTCAACCAACTCCCAAAATTCTTGATCGTAAGTATCTGAATTGTCTGAATCCATTTAGTGAGTAAAGAATGAGAGAAAATGAAAAGAATAAGATGAGAATGAGAGAACAATGACATAAGTGGTAGTTTGAATAACGGCTAGTTTAAATTAAAGTGGTAGTTTGAATAACGGCTAATGACCACTTTACATAGGTGTTGATAAATTAAAGTGGTACTAATGACCATTTTACATAGGTGTTGATAAATTAAAGTGGTACTAATGACCATTTTACATAGGTGTTGATAAATTAAAGTGGTACTAATGACCATTTTACATAAGTGATACTAACTACATTCCATTTTTTTTAATCTTATTACAATATTTTTCATGAATATCTCGTTGACTATCGTTCATAGTAGAAGTGTCTTTCATCATCATTTGCACTACCCTTAATTCTAGCTCGTCCTCCTTAGCTTGCGCAAGTCTGTCCATTGTTATTGCTCTTTTATTCTTTGCATCTTGCGTTGCATTTGGAATTTCTGATGCCTTACCCTTCCTTTTTGCTGCTTTTTGTCCCATTGGACGCTCCATTGGTGATGATGAGTTAAACTCATAACTTGAAGTTGTATCTGGGTTCTCCGATGATGCCCCATTAGCATAAGTCTTTATTATTTTTGCAGAATTTCCAATCGATTCTTCGACGATGCGCCATTTAACTTCATCTTTTAACAATCGCCATGTATACTCAAGATTGAATGTTGTACCTTGATCCTGAGCAAAAATAGCATGTGCATCTGCCATGACATCGGTCTCGGATGTCCCACTTTTCTTTCCTTTAAGAGCAATTTTGTAACACCCAACAAATTTTTGAACCATGCCATTTATTCTATGCCATCGATATTTTAACTGTCCCCCTAACTTTTCCCGCAATTGCCCACGATATTGGTTATAACTAGCAGCAATTCTTAACCAAAAACTCTCAGCCTTTTGATCAACTCCCACAATTGGATTCTTTGAAACATTGAGTCATGATTGGATAAGTAGTATATCATCTTCCCTTGTAAATTGCTCTCGAGATCTTTTTTTAACGACAGCCCTTTCTTCTTTTTCAGTACCAACTTGAGTAGAAAATGGTGGGACTTGAGTAGAAAATGGTGGAACTTGAGTAGAGATTTCCATACTATTAGAATTCATTTGAGGTATAGGATACATATTTGGATTGTTTGGTGACGGAAGAAATATGGCGGGGTTTGTTGGCACCAGTGGAATTTGAGAATTTTGAGGATTAGGATTTTGAGAATTTTGCATGTAATTGAAAAAAGCTTGTTGATAATGAAAATGATTAGGATTCATTTGGCCTAAACAATTGTAATTTGAAGTAAAAAGATGAAATTTTGAGTTAAATATTTTGTAAAAAAAATGCTAATGAGAAAAAATTGTTGAAAAAAAATTAAAAGTATAGGAATAAAATGATGAAATTGTGAGAGAGAAATTTCAAATTGAAGAGAAAATAAAAGTGAGAGAAATTTGTGTTGGTAAATTTTTGGAAACCAAAATTATATTTATAATAAAAAATAAGTTTAAAAAAATAAAATAAAAAAATAAATAGCCGTTGAAACGGCTAGTTTTTATTATATTTATTATATTTTAATACATTATTTAATGCAAATAAGTAGCCGTTGAAAGTGTGTCGTACGGTTGAAAAGGCATTGCATCGTTGCTTCATTATGCAACGTCCACCAATTTAGAATATCTTTCAGTAATATTTAATGCAAATAAAATATGTCACGCTGGCGAACTAGAACGAGAAACCAACGTTGGAGTTGGTCTAACTATATAAAGGCTATCCACATTTTTCAACAGAAATGAATTTTTGTTTATAAATAAATAAATTTTTTTTGGAAAAAGAATTAATTTTTGAGAAAATAAATAAATTTTTTGAAAATTAAATTAAATTTTTCAAAAAAAGTTACATTTTTTGAAAAATTATATTAACTTTTTTGAAAAAAATATAATTTTTTAAAAAACTAATCAAATTTTTTTCTTTTTTAAAAAAACATTAATAACCGATTTAAAACCGATTATATAACTATAATCAAATTTATAATTGATTTTATAATCAACTTTAATTAAAATGTAATTATGGTTATGAATCCAAACTATTTAACTAATTTAAAAATAATTTGATTTCTAAAAATAATCAACCATCCAAAGTACTATTTGGAATGAGTAACACCCAAAGTACTGAACACTATTTGGAATGAGTAAGAGTAACACCCAAAGTACTGATAGTGACGTGAAAGAAAGTAAAATCCAAAGTTTTTTCCTAAATTAGTTTGGACTTTAAGAATAAGAATGTAATATTGGTTTTTAGTGAGTGGTGAATAATTACTATCCGTCCAATTTGAGAAGGAAAGGCGATAAACAGCCCTACATCAATATCTTTACTTTTATTTATTTATTTTAATTTTACTTCTTTTTTAATATATCATTCTTATAGAATAATTGTTCTTCCTGTTTAAGTCCACAACAGCTTGCTCCAATGATTGAACTGGGAATTTTCGATTGTTAGGGATAACAACGCCCATAACAATATTATTTGAGATGCTTTAAGCAAGGATCATAATAAAATGGACAAAAGTACAAAACCTCAACCTCAACTCCATAGATCATATCTATTATTAGGTTCAATGAATCCTCTTTCCGGAGAATCCTTGGTTAGAAGGGAGAACTTTAAAAGAAACGTAAGTTATTTAATTTAGCGGCCGCGAAAGACATAAGAGTGGGAGAGGCGTTAGAGAATGGTAATAGTGATTTAGAGTGGAGGAGTTTAGAGTTCAGTAATCTAAATGTGGAAGTTAGTAGGTGTAAGAGAATTTCTAAAATAATATTAAATAGGTGAAAGAAATATTCTTTTGTAAAATACTATCAAAGATACGCTTAATTCTAAAGTATCCTGCAGGAAATTCGTCGGTAAACTCGTTTGCATCTAACATACCAAGATTGGTGGAGGCGAATTGTTCCTTAAGTTTAGTGTGGAAACATAGCTTTGGAAGTTTATCAATAAAATTTATTTCTCTATTTTCATCTCCATTAATTCTTAGTTTTGCAGCAGCCTCAAAGACTATATATAACATTTTTAAGGAACAATTTATCTCATTCAATGGTTGTTTCACTAAAAGAGATGACTTCTGACTTTGTCAAATTAGAGAAGTTCGATGGAGGGAATTTTATTCGTTGGCAGAAAAAAGTGAAATTCCTTCTCACAACATTGAAAGTGGTGAATGTCCTTAACATTCCAAAATCGGAAGAAAAAGAAGATGAAAGAATTGTTGAAGCTAGAGAGAGACAAAAGTGGGACATTGATGATCATATATGCATGGGACACATTCTCAACGGTATGTGCGATTCGTTGTTCGACATTTATCAGAGCAGCAACTCCGCAAAAGAATTATGGGAGAAATTGGAATCAAGATACATGCAAGAAGAAGCTACAAGTAAGAAGTTTCTTGTTTCTCAATTTAATAATTATAAAATGGTAGACGATAGACTTGTAATGGAACAAATGTATGAAATCGAACGTATTCTCAATAATTACAAACAACATGATATGAATATGGATGAAACAATCATTGTATCTTCCATAATTGATAAACTTCCTCCATCATGGAAAGATTTTAAAAAATCTTTGAAACATAAGAAAGAGGACATATCTCTTGAGCAATTGGGTAATCACCTTCGTTTAGAAGAAGAGTATCGTAAACAAGATGATACTAAAAATCAAATTACTCATGAGAAGGTGCATGTAATGGAGGAAGGAAATTCAAGTAAAACTTCCAAGAAAAGAAAGTGAGATTTTGGAAAATCTTATGAAAATCATAATGTTAATAGCAATAATAACAATAGAAAGAAAAAGAAAGGAAATTGCTATCATTGTGGAAAACCAGGACACTTTAAAAATGAGTGCAAGTTCTTAAAAAGAGAGAATAAAACTAAGAATTCAAGTGCAACAACAGACAATCTTGTTGTTGTCATTTCTGAAATCAACATGATAGAAGATGTTGATTCTTGGTGGATAGACTCTGGTGCTACCCGTCATGTGTGCAAAAATAAAAAACTATTCAAGACCATCAATGAAGAAAATGGTAGTGTTTTGTACATGGGAAATGCTTCTACGGTTCAAGTCAAAGGAAAAGGATCGGTAGAGATTGAATTCACATCTGGAAAATTACTCACTTTGAAAGATGTACTTTATGTACCTGAAGTTAGGAAAAACTTGATATCTGTATCTTTACTTAATAAGTATGGTTTCAAATCTGTATTTGAGGAAGATAAATTTATTCTCTCCAAAGGGGGTATTTTTATAAGGAAGGGTTATCTTTCTGAGAATATGCTCATTTGTAATGTTGTTAATAATAATAACAATAATAATAATAATGATGTGATTTCTGCTTATATTGTTGATTCTTATGATTTATGACATATGCGACTAGGACATGTTAATTTTAGAAAATTAAATGATATGATGAAACCAAATTTAATTCCAACTATTGACAAAAATTCAAATTCATCTACTACTTGCATGTTAACTAAAATCACTAGACAACCTTTTAAAACAGTTGAAAGAAATTCTAAAGTGTTAGATTTAATTCATTCTGATGTATGTGATTTACATGGTTGGCCCACAATTGGTGGTAAAAAGTATTTTGTCACTTTCATTGATGATTGCACTAGATTTTGTTATGTTTATTTAATGCACTCTAAGGATGAAGTTTTAGAAAAATTTAAAATTTTTAAAGCACAAGTAGAACTTCAACATGAAACTTTCATTA